AGCAACGGAAAGCGGCGTTTAGTGTTAACAGCACCTGAATATTAGGGATCCACGAATGTGGGGCTTACCGGGAGGGTCTAAAGTGAACCAACCTCAAAACTGTTTAGAGGTTTGATGTGGGAGGGAGAATGTCCCATCCCCCACACCGTAACCCCAAGAACCCGTGAGTACTGTAGGCTGTCCAACAGAAGCAAGTGAAAGTAGATGAATTAAACATGCTAACCAATTTGAGAAGAGATTATTCGAGATAATGGGGTGCCTAAGGGCCGGCGAGATGGCTCAGTAGATAAAGTCAGAGTTCCATTACTAGGGTCCACAGGGTGGAAAGAGAGAACTGAATTCCAAAAGTTTTCTCTGGCATTCAAAACAGGCACCGTGGTGCATAGCCCCGACCCGCCACATACAAAATAATAAATAAATGTTGGGGGTTTTTTTTTTGTTTTTTTTTTTAATTTAAGGCACTTAAATGTGAAGGAGGGAGGCAGGAGATGTAGTGTCTGCTGTGGGACTGAACACTGTGTCTCCAAGTTTGAATACCTGAGTCCAAACCTTCAATGTGTTGACACCAAGAGATGGGGCCACCAGGAAATCATGAGCTTTCGGTGAATTCAGAGGGCAGGGCCCTCATGGAATTGGTGCCCTGAGGAGCAGAGACCCCAGAGAACTTGCATCCTGTTCCCCTGCCTAGGAGAGACCCCAATAAATTAACTGTCAGCCATGTGTGGTGGTACTTGGAGGTAGCGGGTGGGTCTCTGTGAGTTTTCAGTCTGGTCTACAAAGCACGTTCCAGGCCAGACAAGGCTACATGGTTGAGGCACTGTCTCAAAACAGTCTATAAACCAAGAGGGCCCACCCAAGAACCTGACTACGCTGGCAGCCGAATCGGGGGCTTGCAGTTTACAGATCTCCAATCAGCTTCTATTGCTCACGCCATGGTATGTGGCGTTATGTTGTGACAACCAGCGCAGACTCTCAGAGGTGACCTGTGAGGAGACTCCACTGGCCATTTGCTGGCTCCATAGATATGAGGGAGGGGTTGAGCGTCAAGGGGTGAGGGGGGCCTCTAGAAGAAACAGGCCAGGGAGGGAGCCCTGGTGAAGGCATCGGCCTGGCCTCAGTACAGCGAGACCCATGCTGCACTTCCCACCCGCAAATCCGAAGGAAGAACGTGCGCTACACTGAGCCGCGGGGCTACACTGAGCCGCAGGGCCGACAGAAACCGGCTCCCGAGCTAGAGGAAATGAGAGTCAAGAAAAGCTCACCCTGTCAAGTCTCAGCCTGAGGCAGAGGAGGGCTGGGAAGGTCACACCCAGGTGACTGGGGCTGGGGCGTGTGGAGAGAGACACAGACAGTCTCCACGTCCTCACGAAGCAAGGGAAGCAGCCAAGTCTCGGTGGACACGTCCAGGCCGGGCAAGTGGGCAGGTGGGGCCAGACCACGGCAAATCAGGACTTCGGAGGGTGAGACCGAAAAAAGGCAGAGGGCAGGCCAGACCACGGCAAATCAGGACTTCGGAGGGTGAGACCAAAAAAAAGCCGAGGGCAGGCCGGGCATAAACGCTCAACTATTCTCACTGCTGTTTCCGACATAAGCCAAAGGACCGCCCTTTCTGGATGAGCAGCCATCCTGGGACGCCAAACACTAACATCGATCTTGGGGACCTCCTCTCGGAGGACTGACAGACAGCCTTCGGAGCAGAAGCCGACCAGGTAGCCTGCACCTAGCCAACCGTGGCAGCCGGCAGCCTCAACCCCTCCCTGGATGCTCTGACTCACTTCTGCCTCATTCTAGAGAACGAGCCACCATGCGATAGTTACAGAGGAACTCTACAGACTGCTGTGGCCCACGTCAACAACCGGAGGAAAGCATGGTCCCCTCGGGTCACTTTCCAAGCAGATGACACTTGTCCTCAAATAAAGATTCCAAGATAGTACT